TTCTTGGACCCTCCTTTTCCTCTTTTTTAGTAATGTTTTTAAATTTTGATGTTTTATGTATCTATATGTGTTTATTGTTTTAATGTTTTGTGTGAGTCGCCCAGAGTCCCCCATTGGGGGGAGATGGGCGGAGCAGAAATTTAATAAATAAATAAATAAAATAAAATGAAGAAATTATGAACCCAGAGAGACTGCTACGATGATCAATGACTAAATTCAAGAAGAAAAAGAATGACATCTTAGGAAAGCTCATAGGGGAAAATGGCAACCAGCTTAGATAAAAATACAAATTATCCCAGCAGATAACTTACATTGGTCAAGATGGTCTGCTCCGGAAATGATCACTTCGAAGTCATTAGTCATGAATGACAGCAAATACCCCAAGAAAGGGGACAAAAAGAATAGGCGACTTAAATCAATGGTCAGACTGCTTTATAGATGACCAGTTCATTCATGTCAGAAAGGAAGATGCGTAGCAAGGAAGCCATGGACAGTTTTGCAGGGTATCTAGAGGAGGCTTAAGAAGAAACAGGAAAGGCAGGAGCATTTGAAAACTGTGCTGGAGGCAACTGTAGTGAACTGGGGACAAAATGAAAGGCAGCTGTGGTGTAGTGCTTCTGCCTGAATGGTATCCTCACTAATACCTTTGGAACAGACCAGAGATGGATCTGGCATTAGAATACATCAAAAGCTGATCAAGAGCAGGGATGGGGGAATTTCCATCGGAGGGCTTTGCACAAAGTCAAAGCAACTCCCAACCTCTTTCATCCCATGATGTTGGCTCTGTGCAAGGGCTGAGTCTCTTAATTTCAACTCATCTGTAATGCATTTGAAAGTACAGTAAAAATAGTCCAGCTGCTGGTCTATCTTGAAAAAGAGGAAGCAAATACAGCCGACATGAATAGCAAACCAACTGGAATGCTTCCAATCATCAATAAGAAGAGGTAGGACCTGCTATATATTGGCATGGTGACCAGATCAGGCAATTCATTAGCAGTGGTACAGTTGTGTAGAAGAAACTAACTGGAGCTAGAGTAAAAAGTTATATGGAGCATGTTAAAGTCAAACTGTTAGAAACCCAAATTTAAGGCTTGCTGAATCCACGTACTTTAAAGCAGGGTTTAATCCTGAATCCACGTACTTTAAAGCCAGCTGGGGAATTCTGGGAGTTGAAGTCCACCCATCTTAAAGTTGCTGAGGTTGAGGAACCCTGCTTTAAAGCACCAATATATGTGTTAGTATGTAACCTGTGTATTCACTGCTTCTATTTCTTAAGCCTATTTCACCATTGCAATCAGGTGAAATTTGCCAAATTCTTATTCAGATTAATGATTAGAAATACTGAGCACTATAGTTTTTGACATCAGCTATTATTTATTAACAGTTGTATATTAACATTTCCTGTGATCTTTTCAGGAGAAGTAGTGTTACCGCTAATTTCTTCCTCAAAAATAAAAGGCCATTTTTATTTCTGTATAGCAGTTTTATTATCCCATGTAACAGGGTTTTTTAAAATCATTTATTAGGTGGCTATAAAGGTAGAAAGAAGATTTGATATTGATGCTCATTTTCTTTTGTAGAATAGACACTGATTAACTTTCAAGCTCTTCCAGATTATTTATTTAGGCCATT